TATCTATCTGTCTGCCTCTCCCTCTCACGCTCCCTCACTCTGTCCCCTTCCTGCAGACAGACACAGCAACGACTTGCATGCGAACCCTTCTATCACTCCCGTTGCAGCTGTATATACACCGCGCAGCAGCTGTACGTACACCTCAACGTCTCTGCCGAAATGTGTGCGTGCGATTCAGGCGCTGCTGCAACAACAGCATCAGCAGCGGCTACCCCCTCCCGGGCCTGTCCAGGGTGTTGATGCTTCATCCTCTCGTACTGCCCCCCACAACGCTGCTGCGTTCGGGGCTGTAGGGGGCCCCCCAGCTCAAACACCAGCAGCGACAACAGCTGCCGCTGGGGGCCCGCAGCAGCACCAGCAAGGACCCACCGTCACGCATGGGTACGGGGGGCCCCCCAGCATAGGACAGAATGGAGGGCCCCAAAGTCGCGAGCAGGGGCCCCCATCATCCTCGTGGAGGGGCCCCCCGGCTGCTGGCCAGACAGCCTTCAACAGCGGGCAGGGGCCCCCACCAGAGCAGATAGGGAGTTGTGGAGGAGCTGCAGAGGGGCCCCCGTCTCGCGCTTGGCCCGGAACAACACACACGTGGCAGGGGGCCCCCCCGTCTGGAGCTGCTCAGGGGCCCCTCAGTTGTTCGAGTAGTGTTGCTCACGATGAATCCTCTCTTCTCCTTGACTTAGAAGATATTGCAGACGCTTTCGGACAAGAACCTCCTGCGCAGCAGACTGCCCCTCCTCAGTGGAAGCCCGAGGAGCCCCCACCTCCACCCCAAGAAAGCCCCGTTGAATGGCAGCAACAGGGGCCCTCTTGGGTACAGCAACAGGGGCCCCCTCAGGGGCCTCCGAAGTTGTCTCATCAGCAGCATCAACCCGGCTCTCAAACGACTATTCAGTATGAGTGCCAGGGGGCCCCCCAGCAGGTGTGCCGGCAGCTGCTCGATCAGCTACCTTCTCCGGGTCCGCTTCAGTGGCCCCCAACTTCGCAAGAGAAGCCGCAGCAGGTTATTTATGATGATAGTCGTGCAGCGCTGGAGGGGGAGTCGGTTTCGGGAAGCGAGAGCATCACGGGTGTCTGTACACCTCAGAGTGAATCCTCATCCTTATGCCGAGAACCACATGCTCCCGTGCAGGCCTCTGGTGTTACTGGGGCCTCTTTTGCTAATCAAGGCAAGGGAAGTAGTGGGGCCCCCGAGGTAAGAGAGGCTCCTTTCTGGGTATTTGGGGCAGTGATTAATGCAAGGGAACGAGGAGAGGCGGGTGCTGAATGGGATTTGCTAATAACCGATGGGATGCGTGTGTTCGCCGCTGTGAGTGGGGCGGAGCTGGGCAATGCAATAATTAATGAAGTCCGGCACACGTCTTTGTTTCCTTCACTGTCGCCTGTGGAGAAGATGCGAAGCGTTCAGGGTCAATTCCTTGTGCAGATTCATCGAAACGTGAACGCTGAGCGCGGCAGAGTGCGCATCATCGCGTTTCGTGCAAACGCACCCCGCGGCGAAGTGGCTGAAAAGCTGAAGTACCTTCGTTCTCTCATCGAAGAGAACAGGAAATTAGAGTCTTAGGACAGAAACCTGATCATATTGAAACGGAAACCTGACTTCTATTGGGATATTGAAACGGAAACCATACGGCAATCTCTAGCTTGAAACCTGATATTCATTGTGACGAACGCTCCACCCACAACTGTTTGAAGTTCAGCTTTCGGTCAGGTTTCCGCTTCCGGTATTCGGGTTTCTTTGCAGATGAAGTCGATGCGGAAACATGTTGCAGAACTATCTCAAGACAAAATGTCAATTTGATTCCTCTCCACGGGTTTAGTTCGCAGGGATCAACCTTCTATTTGAAGAACGTTTCGTTTTTTTCGTCGCAAATCAGTTACCTCTGGAGTGTATAGGCAGCTCACTGCCGGTGCCTGTTCGGCATTCGGGGGAGCTGTCGTCATTTCGTCTTCTTTAGAACTCTTGAAAGCAAGTTTTCTTCTGTTTTCAGTGCGTGTGCATCTAGATTGGTCTAGTATTCCTACGAACTGCATATTGTTACTGTTAGCACAAACGATATAGAGGCGCATGTTCATAAAGAAACCCGCATCTCTCTTGCAGCAATGCAAAGCATTCAGAAACTGCACAGCAGCACGGGCCACAACTTACGTTCTCAGTATTTGTACCCAAGTTTTTGCCGAGCGGCTACAAGACTCGTGGAAGCAGCTCTAGCGTCTGCCAGCTCTCGAATAGACATATCGATCCACTTTCGGAATTTCGAGTTGAGTGTCAGTGACAATGGGTATGCAGTGCATGCACAATAGTAAAGGAAGGCTTCTACTTTATTCTCTTTCACATTCACGCGTGCAGGAAGGGCTTGGATGAGGCAGAAATGGCGGCCCTGCGATCAGCGTGGCTGGCACAAGGCTGTAGTACTTCAACGACGACAGAGTGCAGGTGCACACCGCTTTGCTTGTTTCTGCATTTATCTGAGGCAATTTCACTTCTCCTGGCCCACAGTGCAACAAATGTAGCCCTTTTAGCCCATATTGGCGACCTGCACATCATCTCGAAGAAAGCAGGAAAGACCCAGACCTTCGGCCTCGAGCTGCCGCACCCATGCACTCTTCTTGCATGCAACCCACGGAACTCCTGCGGGACTTGCGTCCGTTTGACAAGCTTTTTCAAAGGATGCCCTGTGCGGCGAGCATCACTGAACATCCGGAGAGAAACAGAGTCTATTCAACAACTCACGATTGGCATTGCCGTGTAAGATAAGAAACACATTCTGCAGCAACTGTTTCCTATATTTATAATCATGTGGTTCCTCCCTGCATGCACAGGGCGCAATATGACATTGAGTGAGGCTGACAGCATACAAAACAACGAACTAACAAATAGAAATAAAACAACAACTGCTTCTGCTGCTTCCTCCCTTCTCAGCTTTTCGCTAACAACCGACACCAGCCTGCACTTGGAGCTTCCAGGTCGGGGTAGTATCAAAGAAAGAATTCAACAAATCTTTGTACGACAGACACTTAACGCGTAACAATGATATGATCATTCATTTTGCATTTCCGAATACTTTCTATCATTAAACGCGACAGGGAAAAGATGCCGCCAGCCGCTTTGTAAGAAATCCCCTTGTTTGTCTTTCTTTTTTTAATCTGCATCTTTTAATTGTTTTCTTCTATCTTTATTTTCGTCGTTGCGGGTAAACGTAGGGGGAGTGTGCGGCTGCAGGAGAAAATGCTAAAGTAGACGGCATCATAGGGAAGCCAACAGGTTTGGAAATGAATTATTTTACGTTTTTATCTATTTATTTTTTATTTAACTTCATTCATATTCTTTAGAAGGAGGAGAAATGCGTCGCATCCGTTTCCTTTCTGTATTTACCTCTCTGTTTACACTTTTGCAAATTCGCATTTCACATTTGGTGACGACAGGCAAACGGAAGGCCGGTTCAATGCCCCATCATTACTTCTTTTATTGATATCTCGTGAGGCAACTGCAACATCTTTTAGTCTCCAAACACTATAATCAAACTCTACGCTCCGTGCAGACTCCACAAGATCTGCCCGCCAACCGAAATAAAAGCAAAAAAACAAAGAGGAAAAGAATCACGAGTTCAGCCTGCAGTGAGTCAATATACATATATATATATATATATACATATGTATGTATATACATATATATATGTATATATATATATATATATATAATATACATATGCATTTTATTACCAGGAGTTCGCGTTGTCTATGGAGGTTCCCGAAGGCAGCGTAGAGTGTTTAGAGGCGGATCCGTGGCGTGAGTGAACAGCAATTAGTTCAACATAAAAAAAGTTTTCGCATGTCTTCAACATACGTCTTCTTCTGTCGTTCTGCAGCTCTTCTTTGTTGTGCAGATTATATGGAGGTAATGGCTGGAGTGTTTGTTCTTCCGCCTGCGCTGCTGGTTAATCTGTTTAATTGTTCAACAGATTTTGTTTATTTTGTCTACTGCAATTCGAAATGCACTCTGCGTAGAAAGCGACAGCAGGTGAGTAGCTTTATCTCGAGGTCTTTGAAAAAAATTACAAAGAGATGCTCGTCGGTGCCGTTTATTCGTCGGTATTATTGTTTGTTATAGTGATAGTGATAAAGAGCTGCTCGCCACTGAGGCTATGAAAGTGCTGCAGCTACACCGCGTGGAAACAGGAGGTGCGTTGAGGCTCTTTAATTGGAGTCTATTATTTTAGTGCTTCACGCGGTTGTCTTCAGGTGTATATGCATTTCTTACTAAGTGGAAAGAGCTGTCTGGCAAGCAGCTTCGAGACGAAACGAAAAACACAGAGAAAAAACAAACACCCACGACAACACCAACATCAGTTACAGCAACAAACAGCAAATGCGATGCCTCACTTCCTCCAAACGTGAACAAGACAGACGACTGCGCATGTTCTGTTCATCACGAAGAGGTCTCTTTGCCTTCTCCGCAGCCTTCATTAAACGCTCCTTGGGCTTCTTGTCTCCTTGTTGCTGGCGGAGAAGGTAATCGGCTCAGCTCAGTCTCAAGAAGCTGCCCCTAACTACTAAAATGCCTCCTCCTTTCTTTGCATGCATTTATTGTTGCTTCGCACTGCACAGGCATTACGCATGCGCCGACACGACTGCACATCAGACGCGAAGATGTGTCTCGGATCAAGATTGTCTCTCAGGTGCTAAACCCTAAACCCTAAACCCTAAACTGAAGAATCACCTTCTTCTTGATGCTCCTGCAGGTGCAGTGCAAGTTCCTCGTGGGGCTGCTGGACGGTGCGGTGTTGGTCGCCATAGACCAACACGCCGCTGGAGAACGTGTGAAGCTGGAGGAGATTGAAGATGCAACTTCCCGTCTGCCTCATCCTTCTGTTGTTTCTTTCAAGCTCAGCACCCCCACACGGATCGAGGTATTTCCTTTGCCGATGCTGATAAGCCACCCTCACTCTTGTAGAAACAGAAAAACATATATGAATTGCCCTCCAGCTAGCCGTCCACGAGGTCTATTTACTCAAAGAAACAGCATCGGCAGTAAGCACATACTTGAGGTGTATCTGCAGCTCGTGCTTGCCTCAGTGTGCGGCATACAATCAAACAGAATATACAAATCTTATGAAAATCCATATGAATAAATTTGTTTCAGTGCAATATCTGCGTTTATACATGCACGCATATGAACGTGTTCATCGTATTTTTCGCATGTTTCCCCTCGAAATGCATGCAATAAACCGCAGCTGTTCACTCTCGGATACCGTACCGAGCCGCCCTTGTCGGAGATCAACGAAAGCTGCAGCGTCACCGGTACATTCAGATAAAACTGCGTTGTACAGTACACCCCAAGCTGTCTCATCGCTTCTGATTCTTCTTCTTCCCTGCAGTAACGCATGTGCCCTCGCTACTGGGAGAGCCGCTTGAGGCGGCTGCTCTCAGTGCAGTCGCGCAGTGCATATCGCAGAGGAGAGTCTGTGATAGAATTGCAGAAATACTCAAAATGAAGGCCTGCCGCTTTGCCGTCAAATTTGGAGGTGGGTGAACAAGCCCTAAACCCTAAACCCTAAACCCTAATTCGCAATCCTTTGTGGCGTGCAGAGGCCCTCACAAACGAATCTGCTGCCGTTCTCGTGGCAAAGCTTGGAAAATGCAGAAAGCCGTTTGCATGCGCTCACGGAAGGCCGACTGTGTATCCTTTAGGGCTGCTGCAGCAGCAGCCTCGAGGCCCCCCAAGATGAGAGCAGAGAGAGGGGCCCCTCGCTGGTGTCCAGAGCAGCAAGCGACACAACCCCACATGCATGCAAAGCAGGATAAACCCGCACAATTTGAAGATAATAATAAAAGATCTAAGGGGATGTGGAGTGTTGAGAAGGAGGAGGAGAAGACGTCGTGAGGGCCTCCGATTTCAGTAGTGGGCCCTCTTTGTTTGTGGCTGCTACCAACTCGTGTCTTTGCTTCATCGCCTGCAGTGCGGGCTGCACTGTATAGACACCTCCTGCTATTCCAACGGCAATAGCAATCGCTATCTCCAGGCCAAGGATGGGCGGACGGCGCATCATCCTCAAACCCTAAACCCTAAACCCTAAACCCTAAACTCTACCCCAACAGAGCTCCTCACCATGGAGCTCAGTTTGCCGCACCACGGTGATTAGCTGACGACTACAGAAACTGTTGCTGCAGCAGCAGGAACGAATAGCAGTACAGCGCAGCGAGCGGCCTTCTGCTACTGCAGCAATCCTTGCCCTCACTATTGCAACGGCAGCAGCAACAGCAGCAGCAGCAGCAGTAGCTGAAGTTCTCAGACTTCCCGTTCGCTGCTCAGGAAGCTGCACAGGATGCAAAGTCGTTGATTATATGCAAACCCAATTTGTTGCTGCAGTGCTGCACCTGCTGCTGCTGCTGCTGCTGGTGGTGTTGCAGATGCCGGCGCAGCTATTGCAACACAAGTAAACATATCTCTTAACATAAATCAAGAGTTGCTGAGTCTCTCACTGTAGGACGGATGGTAAGCCAGGGGGCCCCGGGGGCCCCAGAGGGGCCCCTGGGGCTCCGTGGGCCCCCCTATGTCGAGGGTTTGCCGGGGCTGTGGGGCTGGTGCTGTGTTTGCTCGTTTAGTATTTGAATGCAGCAGCCGAAAATAAAATTAAATGTGCAGCAAGAAAGTTGTGCTGCAGTGTTTGCTGCTGCCCCGAAGACTGCGGAAGGCGCAGCAGATCCTCTGCTGTCCCTTCACAGTCCCGCTGTCTCGATTAACTCTAAACCCTAAACCCTAAACCCTAAACCCTAAACCCTGAATCATTGTTGTGTATCTTTTGAGGTTGGGCGTTAAGGAGATGGGGGAGAAGACGAAAACCCAACGCCCTAGGAAACGGAAGGTAGGGGCCCCTGGCGAGGGGCCCCCTTTGAGGACGCGGCGTAAAGCAGGGGGGCCCCCTGTGAACGAAGCAGATAATAATGTTTCTGCTGATAATGCAGAAGATGTGGAAGGTGCGAATAGAGAAGAATTGGCTGCCCTCGAGACCCTCCTCTTCGGGGCCCCCACAATGACGAAAGCTGAAACTGAAGCGGAGGAGGGGGGCCCCCCAGGGGCCCCTACAGATGCTGAAGCTGCTGAAGGCAGAAAGAAGAGGAAAAGAAAGGTAGATAACAAGAACAGCAGCAGCAGCGGTGGAGAAGGCCCCGTAGCAGCAGCAGCAAAGGACGCAGCAGACCCAGCAGAAGCAGCAACAGCAGCAACAGCAGCAACAGAAGCAGCAAGCTCGGGGGCTGCATGGGTAGACCCAGATGACGCGAGGCTGCGTGTAGACATTGAAACAAACCCCAAGTTAAGGAAGCTGAAGATTAAGAAAGAGGAGAAATATATATCAGGGGCCGAATACGAGAAAAGATTAAAAAAGCTGCACAGCAAAATCACCGGCAATGCAGAGAACCTCGATTGGATTGAAGAAGCAAGAAAAAGAAAAAAGGAGGCGGAGGCCGAACTAGAAGAGTCAGTAGCACCCATTGTCTCACACAGGGTTTAGGGTTTAGGGTTTAGGGTTTAGGGTTTAGGGTTTACTTACTTGGGCATGGACCCGTTTTACTCCCTACTCTTTGCCTGATGTTGTAGCAGAGACGATAAGCTTTTTCTTTGCTTTGTTTCTGCACGTGTTTGTTCTTCTCATGACACTGAGGGTTTAGGGTTTAGGGTTTAGGGTTTGGGGTTGTGCATGCATGCAGACTTGGGGAGGGGCCCCCTGGCTTTGAAAGCAGCGCTGCGTTGGGGCCCCTTGTGAGCGCAGAGCCGATAGTAGTCTCAGCTTCGTCTGCTGCAGTGAAGAAGGGGAGGGGCCCCCTTGCTCCCGGCAGAATATCGATAAGGAGGTTGGAGGACGCCAATAAGCACGGCATCAGCTTGTGCGAACTCAAACCCTAAACCCTAAACCCTAAACCCTAAACCCTAAACCCTAGATCTAGAGAAGACAATACGCACAACACGGAGCTACGGGGAAGCAGTCGTTTATTTAGTGCCCAGAGAGCTGGCGTGAAAAAAGGATCAGGGTTTGGGGTTTAGGGTTTAGGGTATAGGGTTTAGGGTTTAGGGTTTAGGGTTTAGGGTTTGTGTGTTGCGGCAGGTGTGCGGTATCTTGTTTGGAGTTTCACCCGAAGTCTTCTGTTCTTCTGACAGGGGGTCGGGACAAAACTCTGCGTCTTTTTCTTGTGAGTATTTTAATTGTTGTTTATTATTTCTCTCTCGCCTGCCTAAACCCTAAACCCTAAACCCTAAACCCTAGGTCCTCAGGGGGCGTCTTTGTGTGCAGGTGGACGGGGGCAAGAACTCGCGTTTGGAGTCTGTACACCTGAAGCAGTTCCCTATATCTGCTGCACAATTTACTCCTTATAACGGGGCTCAGAGCGTTCTTATGGTTTCGTCTGCTACTAGATCTCTAGCAGAATACGACATGCAACAAGGGTCTGCTGCTGCTGCTGCTGTTGCTGCTGCTGCTGCTGCTGTTGCTGCTGTTGCTGTTGTTGCTGCTGCGGTTGGCTGCGGCGGCGGCTGTTGGTGATGGTGGTGCTGCTGCTGGTGCTCGTTTGCTTCTCCTTCTGCTTTTACTACATTCGTCTTGCTGCAGCTGCTTCGCTTCGCTGCTACTTTGCTGCTGTTGCTGCTGCTGCTGCTTGTCCTTGAGATGGTGTTTCCCGTGGACTGTTGCTGCGGTTGCTGCTGCTTTTGCTGCTGTTGCTCTTTTGCTTCTGCATCTGCTGCTCCTACTGCTGCATTCATCCGACTCGGTGACTGCCCATTGCTGCTGCTGCTGCTGCTGCTGCTGCTGCTGCTGCTGCTGCTGCTGCTGCAGGAAGGTGTACCACATCCCTGGAATTGCTGGGCGCCGCGAGGAGAGATCTTTTCATTTGCTGTCGATGTCTCCTGGGATCGTCTCCGCTCCCTCCTCCCCCGTTGTGAAGACCTTTGCGGTAGCCTCAACAAGCTCCCAGTAAGCGCTGCTGCACTTGCTGCTGCTGCTCTTGCTGCTGCTGCTCTTGCTGCTGCTCTTGATGCTACTGCTCTTGATGCTACTGCTCTTGATGCTATTGCTCGTTCTGCTGCTCCTGCTCTTGCTGCTGTTGCTGCCAGTGGGCGGCGAGCTTCGCTGCAGCACCTGCAACAGCAGCAGCAGCAGCAGCTGCTGCTTCTATCTATGACGTCCTTCTCGCTTCCTAGTCTTACGTAGTGCTCTTGCTGCTGCTGTTGTTGCTGCCTTTTATCCTGCTTTACATCAAAACCAGCAGCCGCAGCAGCAACAACATCAGCAGCAACAACAGCAACAGCAGAAGCAGCAGCAGCAGCAGCAGCAGCAGCGTGCTGTGTGTGTGTGTGTGCTCTGACAGTACCGTCCTTGTCTGCGACTCCAACTCAAAGCGCCTCCTCAGCGTTCTGCAAATGAATGCCCCAGTTGTTGTAAGCAGCAGCAGCAGCAACAGCAGCAGCAGCACCAGCAACAGCAGCAGCAGCACCACCAGCAGCAGCAGCAGCAACAACTCGACTTAGAGTGACAGTAGCACCGTCTCTATCATCATCGGCAGCAGCAACAGCAGCAGCACTAGCACAAGGGAGACCAGCAGCAACTCCACCAGCACCAGAAGCAGCAGCAACTGCAGCAGCAGCAGCAGCAGCAGCAGCAGCAGCAGCAGCAAGAGTTAGTGTTGATTTGGGTGTTGTTATGCAGGGCATGGCTTACCACCCCCACCGGGAGACTTCAATTCTAACAGCAGACGCCGAGGGCTCAGTGAGGAGACAGCCGATTGCTGCTGCTTCTCTCTTCTGTCTCCTTGCTGTCTCCTTTCTGTGTCTTGATGCCTCTTTTTGTCCCTTTATCTGTCTCCTTCTCCTTCTTTATCTGTCTCCTTTCTGTTTCTTTATCTGTCTCCTTGCTGTCTCCTTCTGCTTCTTCATCTGTCTCCTTGCTGTCTCCTTTCTGTTTCTTTATCTGTCTCTTTATGCTTCTTTATCTGTCTCCTCCTGCTTCTTTATCTGTCTCCTTTCTGTTTCTTTATCTGTCTCCTTGCTGTCTCCTCTTGTCTCTTTGAATCTCTTTTATTGTCCTGTGTGTCTTTCTTCTGTCTCCTTTTGTCTCCTCTCTGTCTCCTCTCTGTCTCTTTTTGTCTCCTTCTGCGTTTGCTGTTGATGCTGCTGATTTTTTCTGCTGCATTATCTCTGCTGTTTTATGTTTAATATTTTTTTGTTTTTGTTTGATGATTTTGTCTGTCTCCTTTTTGTGTTATTAGTTTTTTCTGTCTGTGTGTCTCCTCTTTGCTGCTGCTGCATTTTGCTGCTGTCTCTGCTCTTGCCCTTCCATACCGCATCCATTTGCTGCTGCTGCTGCTGCTGCTGCTGCTGCTGCTGTTGCTGCTGCTGTTCAGGTGTATGAGTGGGAGCTGCGTGCTGGGCGTTGTTTATCTAGATCTCGCGACTCTTCAGTTCTGTCTCCTGTCTCTTTTGCTGTGTCTCCTCGCTCTGACTCTTTCTCCTACAACAGTCCCTCTTCAATTCTAGCATTAGGTAAGCTAATGCAGCAGCAGCAGCAGCAGCAGTTGCAGTTGCTGCTGCTCCTCCTCCTGCTCCTGCTGATGTTGCTCCTGATGCTGCTCGTTCTCCTGCTGCTGCTGCTGCTCCTGCGCGGGTGCTGCTGCAGCATCTGCGGATACTGCCGCTATTGCTGCTCTTGCTGCTGCTCCTCTTGCTGCTGCTGCTGCTGTTGCTGCTGTTGCTGCTGCTGCTGCTGCTGTTAGACTCGGTCGGTATTGAGTTGGTGTTAAGCGCAGTCTTAATCTGTGTGTCTCTTTCTTTGTTGTCTTCGCGTGTCTCCTTTTATCTATGTGCTTCTTTTTTATTTTTTATTTTTTATTTCCTGCTGCTGTTTGCTGCCGCTGTTTGCTGCTGCTGCTGTTTGCTGCTGCTGTCTCCTTTAGGGTCGCGCAGCGGCTACACGGATTTGTTTGCAGTGCCTGAAGAGGGGCCTGTCTCCTCTTCATCATATAAGGTGATATACACCTCAGCCCCTACAGACACCGCTAGCTAGCTAGCTAGTTAGCTATCTTTCTGTCTGTCTGTCTAGCTAGCTATCTTTCTGCCTGTCTAGCTAGCTACCTATCTTTCTGTCTGTCTAGCTAGCTACCTACACGTTATCCATCTATCTATCTATCTAGGTGGCTAGCTAGCTACCTACCTACCTAGCTAACTAGTTAGGTAGCTAGCTAGCTAGCTAGCTAACTAGGTAGGTTCAGACTAGCTAGCTAGCTAACTAGGTAGCTGGCTAGCTAGCTAGCTATATTGTTTGTTGTTATCAGAGCCTCGGCCACCTGACGACGGGGGTCAGCTGTCTCTGCTTTCACCCTAACAACGAAATACTCTGCCTCGCTTCGCGCTGGAAGAAAGATGCATTAAGACTCGTAAGCAGCAGCAGCAGCAGAAGCAGCAGCAGCAGCAGCAGCAGCAGCAGAAGCAGCAGCAGAAGCAGCAGCAGAAGCAGAAGCAGCAGCAGAAGCAGCAGCAGCAGCAGTAGCATTTCTGTTTCAGGCAGGGACGCCTGCGGGCGCTGTTTGCTCGACTGTCTCCTTTTATCTGTCTCCCTGTTGTTTTTGTCTCCTTTTAGCTGTCTCATTTGATATCTGTATAAGGTGTCTCCTTTAGTCTGTCTCCTTGCGTATCTTTATAATATCTGTCTCCTTGCCTATCTTTATAATATCTGTCTCCTTGTCTATCATTATAATATCTGTCTCCTTGTATATCTTTATGATATCTATTTGCTTGTATATCTTTATAATATCTATTTGCTTGTCTATCTTGATAATGCATGTCTGCTGGTTGAGGTGTCTGTCTCCTTTTGTCTGCGTTTTAGCTGCATGTGGGGTCGGGGACAGTCTTTCAGAACTGGCCGACGCAGCGCTCGCCGCTGCACTACGTTTCTTCTGCTGCATTCAGGTGGATATTAATCCCTCTGTCTCCTTTCTTTGTCTTGTCTTTTGTCTCTGTCTCTGTCTTCGTTTCTGTCTCTGTCTCTGTCTCCGTCTCTGTCTTTGTCTCTGTCTCTGATTGTCTGTCTCTATCTCTCTGTCTCTGTCTCTGTCTCCTTTTCTGTGGCTGTCTCTGCCTCTTCCTCTCTCTCTTCTCTGCCTCCCTGTATCGGTATCTCTTTGTCTGTCTCTCTTTGTCTGTCTCTCTTTGTCTGTCTCTCTTCTCTGTCTCCTGTCTGTCTCTCTGTCTCTGTCTCTCTTTGTCTGTCTCTCTTTGTCTGTCTCTCTGTCTCTGTCTCTCTTTGTCTGTTTCTCTTTGTCTGTCTCTCTTTGTCTGTCTCTCTTTGTCTGTCTCTCTTTGTCTGTCTCTCTTCTCTGTCTCCTGTCTGTCTCTCTGTCTCTGTCTCTCTTTGTCTGTCTCTCTTTGTCTGTCTCTCTGTCTCTGTCTCTCTTTGTCTGTCTCTCTTTGTCTGTCTCTCTTTGTCTGTCTCTCTGTCTCTGTCTCTCTTTGTCTG